AGCATCTACTAATACTTTTATAGCTTTAAAACTAAGCTCAACATTAAAAAGAATTAAGGAAGTAATAGTAGTGTTTTTGTGAGGAAATTCTTCTAGTATTTGATCTAATCCTCTAATAGTGAATCCAACAAAATTAAGATACTTGATTTTTTTACTTGTTCGTGCTAACATTGTAATTAATGAATTTTCAACTGTTTTAAACACAATATCGTTATCGTATTTATCACATATTTTGTAATATTGATTATAATAATTTTCATATTCCTCACGATAAAGATAATTTATGATACCTTTCTTTAAATTATAACTATTAATATATGTAGCATAAGATGTATATTCAAATAAGAGTTTTGGATTATTGGGAAGTGATATATTTAGTGGAATTAATGGCGTCATTTCTTCAATATTTAACGATAAAAGGTATACTCTTATAAGTTCATACTCTCCGCAGTGCTTTAATGGTTCACTCCATAATATTGGAATAACAATTCTACACCATTGACGGTTTACAAGAAGAAATGAAAATAAGTGTCTGGGATAATTTTTAAAATAATTAAATATTTCTTCAAGGCATTCATTTGGTAATTCTATCATTTTGAAACGAAATTATACTAAATGTTAATTAAATATTCATAGAAAAATGATTTAAAAGTATTAGGATTGTTTATTGCCGGAGCATAACGGGGCATTTAATATTTATCAAAGTGATACAAAAGATATGTTTTGATACACCATTAGTTATGATTTTGGTTGACATTATTGATTAAAAGTTTGTATCAAAAATACACGCTACTGAAGTTATACAAATTAGTAAGTAAATTATGTACTACCTATCTATATAAAAGCTTTTCATTGGTAATCATGCATAATTTTGCACAGAAACAAATATTTAAAAACCCCTTGGTTTTTATCCCTTGCCGTTAATATTAAAATATCTTTCTATTTATAAGAATACTTTGTGAAACAAATAGCATGCACTTTCTCAAGAAATTATTGAACCATTAAATATGATGCATTTCAATTAACAAATTGCAAAATGAATAATAATACCGTATAGCCCTACATATAGTACCCGGGTATAATTCAAGAAAATCGGCCTAAATTGGATAATACCCCAAATATTGGGAGAAGGGGGGATAATGCAAAAAATTGTTACTGATCAATATATATTCCTTTTTATTAGAATAGCAAACCCAACGAAAATACCACACTATTAATTATGAAAATTGGGCCACAAATCGCTTGTCAAAAAGGGATACTATTCCAGGGAGTACTATATGCAGCGCTCTACGGTAATAAACTATATGTGATGAAACAAATAGCCAATGATCTCGCGTAATTTGCGTAATCTGTAAATTAATATAGAATTTAGTTTTTATTATTAAATATAAATTCTAAATGTCAAAAATTCAAAGTTTTACGTAAACTTTAATGAAATTAAGGTATTATCCTTATAAAGAGTATTTGCTAATATTTTGCATTCGTTAAAGCTAAGTTGATTATTATAAATATTTAAATCAATTAAGGTAGTGTTTTTGCAGAGAGCTTCTACCAATGCTTTAACTCCTTCATAACCAAGTTTATTGGTACTAAGGTCTAATGAAATTAATGTGGAATTTTGGTAAAGAACTTGTGCTAATAATTGTCCCTCATTAAAAGTAAGTTTATTATTAGAAAGAACTAAATTAGTTAAAGTTGTGTTGTTGTAAAGAGCGTCTGCTAATGCATTTACTGCTTCATTAGTGAGAGAGTTGCCATTAAGATTTAATGAAGATAAAGTTGTATTTTTATAAAGTGCTTCTGATAACGCTTGGATTCCATCAAAAGGAATTTGATTTTTACTAAGTTCTAAAGAAGTTAAGGCATTGTTCACACAAAGAACTTCAGCTATCGCTTTTACTCCCTTAAAACCAAGTTGATTATTAGTAAGATTTAAAGAAGTTAGAGTAGTGTTTTTGCGAAGGGCTTCAGCCAATACCTTGGCTTCTTTGACACCAAGATAATTAAATCTAAGGTTTAAAGAAGTTAATGTGCTATTTTTATGAAGAGTTTGTGCTATCGCCTTTACTCCTTCATGACCAATCTCATTAAATCCAATATTCAAAGTAGTTAAAACAGTATTCCTGCAAAGAGCATCTGCTATAGCTTTTACACCTTCAAAACCAAGATTATTATTGTAAAGATTCAGCGAGGTCAGAGTAATGTTCCTGCAAAGAGCTTTTGCTAATGCCTTGCCTCCTTCAATGCCAAGCCAATTACTAGAAAGGCTTAAGGATGTTAAAAAGACATTTTTGTAAAGAGCTTTTGCAAGTACTTCACCATCTTGAAAACCAAATTGGTTAGAACCAAGACTTAAGGAAGTTAAAGTTGTATTTTTATAAAGAGCCATTGCAAGTGCTTCTACTCCATTATTATCAAACTTATTACCGGAAAGATCTAGGGTGGATAAAGTTGTATTTTCATAAAGAGCTTTTGCCAAAATATTCGCATCTTCCATATCAAGATTACAATTCTGAAGCTCTAATGAAATCAGACAGACATTTTTACAAAGTGCATCTGCTAGTGCTTTTATAGCCTCAAAACTAAGTTTAGTGTTAAAAAGTCTCAAATAAGTAATATTGGTGTTTTTGTGAAGAAATTCTTTTAATATTTTTTCTAATCTGCTACAAGTGAATCCACCGAAATTAAAGTTCTTAATTTTTTTACTCGTTCGTGCTAACATTGTAATTAAAGAATACTCAACTGTCTTAAACACGATATCGTCAACATATTTATCACATATTTTATAATATTGATTATAATAATTTTCATATTCTTCACGGTAGAGATAATTTATGATGCCTTTTTTTAAATTATAACTATTAACATACGTAGCATAAGATGTATATTCAAATAAGAGTTTTGGATTATTAGGAAACGACATATTTAGTGGAATTATCAGTGCCATTTCTTCAGCATTTAACGACAAAAGGTATATTCTTATAAGTTCTCTAACTCCGCAGTGCTTTAATGGTTCGCTCCATAATATTGGAACAATAAGTCTACACCACTGACGGTTTACAAGGAGACATGAAAATAAGTGTCTGGGATAACTTTTAAGGTAATTAAATATTTCTTCAAAGCATTCATTCGGTAATTTTATCATTTTGAAAGGAAATTATGCCGAATATTTATGGATAAATTGGTTAAAAATATTAGTGTTAGGATTGCGTTATTGTTAGGAGTGCAATATTGAAAATCATGTCAGTCGCTACATCGGGGGATTTACTTATTTGTGCCGGTAATACAAATCCCTAATTACTCATAACCAATAAAAATCTCCAAATGTTATGTACGTACAACCTTACTAATATGCCCCTAAAAGTTTGCGTAACTGAGTTTAAATTTTTCCAAAAAACAAAATTCGATATTCAAAATTCTATATTCAAAATTAGAAGTCTATACTTCTTTCGATACAGTGAATAGTAGCAAAGTTATATCAAAGTAAATTTAAACTAGATTTCGGAAGTGAACTCTGGTTAATTTAGTTATATATACATCGATTAAAAATTATTATGACTTATGCCGTAGCAAAACAGTAGCAGTTACAACTGCATTTTTTAGATAATTAATTCTTTCGATTGAATCATTAATGTTTGTAAATATGCATTATTTAATAGTCGATTTGCTATTCTACAAATTATTTTTCAATATTGTTCTGCGTCGTTACGAAATTAGGTCAATTTCTCGATTTTCACCGAATGTGAAATGGCCCAGGTCGATTTGTTATGCAGATCATGAGATTGAAATGACCAGTAATGTAATAAAGTACTGATAATAAATAGAAATATTATATTCATAACACCTATATAGTTTTAATTAGAGTTAGGGTTAAATTAGGGGTTTTATAGGGGTTTTTTATTATACATTATATATTAGATATAAGGTTCCAATAGGTCCTGATTTCAGTTCCTATAAGGTTTTTAAGGGCGCTGAACACTTTTACTTAAAGTAGCTACACCCATTTACTTAGTACGTTTTTGAGATATAGCATAAGGTGTTATATAATATGGTGTTATAAATATAACTTTCCTAATAAATAAATTACTGATAATAAGTACATATCATTTAATTTATTAATAATGATAATAATAATTACGGTAATTTATTAGAATATATTTAATTGATACTGGGGGATATTGAATATTCGGGGTACTATATCTCAAAATCTGACTAAGAAACAGGGTCAGGTGTACTAAGTAAAAATGTTCAGAACCCCAAAACCTTGTGTAACCTTAATTTGGACCATTATATCCACCCTATTTTGGCGTAAAACTGTACTCTAAACCTAAATTTTAGTAAAAACTATTATATCTCAAAAACCTGACTAAGAAACAGGGTCAGGTGTATTAAGTAAAAATGTTCAGAACCCCAAAAACCTTGTCTAACTTAAAATTTAGACTATTAAATCTGACCCCTATTTTGGTATTAAACTGCACTCTAACTCTAAATTTTAGCAAAAAAACTATTTTTTATTAAATATTAGGGGTGGATATCAATATCCCCTGGTGTCTTATACATAATTTGATTTATTAATAACGATAATAATTACATATTTAATAAAATAATTACAAATTTACATTGATTTTTACATTGATTTTTACAATCATATTTGGGGACGATTACAGCAAAAGCAGGGGATGGGACCAGTGTTGGAAATCATATTTTCACAGTGTTCACAAGAGCATAAATTTTTTAAAAAAATCAAAATTTTTTTATTTT